CCCAACCCTCTTTCTCTCTAGCCGCTCCCCTCCCCCCTCCCCCCTTTACCATAGCTACTTTCACCTCATCCATAATAGAGCTCCCTCACCCCTTTCGTCGTTCCAATTGGGGGGCCACATTCTTCCTATATTGTGAAGGCCTTGAGGTCCTCTTTGGTGGGTTGATTCACCCTCCCCCCTCACTCCCCCACAACATCAATGGTTAGAGAAATGGAATAAGGAAGTTTGGGTCGTCTCAGTCCGAACCTGCCTTGAGAATTTCTTTTCTCTTTCCCATATGAAGTCAGCCGTAATAGTGCTCTGCAGAGACACCATTCTCGGTTCAATGGGGCATCTCTCGCCCTTTCTGCTTGGAGAGAGAACTTGGGAGCAATTTTTCTGCAAACAATTTGGCTCCAGGCAGCCAACATTCCCATGCAGGCGCGACACATTGACACTTTCAAAAAAATTGGGGACTCTTGCTGCGTGTTTAGCTCGATCCATTGGCGGTCCTCGGGCACCCTTCTTTTTGGATCAATCCAACTTCTTGTGGAATCGTTGGCCCCTTCCCTCATCCCACCCTTTATTTGGCTGAAGTTAATGGCCTATTCTTCCACATTCCCCTGGCCTGGGTCCTTCGCCTCTCCCCCATCGTCCCACCATCTTAGAGACCACGATCCTCCTCTGTTTGGATCATGTTCCTCAGTACACCAGGATGAATGGACCAAGGTCTCACATAGAGGGTAGTTAAGAAATCACCATCAGCGTCCAAGTTTCGATCGTGTGGCAAACTTTGCCCTAGGAGTATCACCACCTCTCGAGCTTCCCATGATTAAGGCCGATGGGACGACAGGTGCCTCCACAAACCGCATTTCCCTAGGCAATTCATCCCTGGCCTTAGAGCAGGCGGCTCTACCTCCCCATCTAGAACAGTCACATGGCTCCTTCTCGATCGTCCCCCATTGATTCTCTCTTGGATGCATCTCAGCGATCTCTTGATCGCAGTTTCCTATTTTCAGGGGCTGCCACATGGCTCCTTATCCCTTGTCCTTCGTCGCACCCCTCTTGGTGAGCATGTGATCGCTGCTTCCCTTCCCAATCACGTGATACCAAGTGTCCTCCCTCCGGGTCTCCCTCTGGTCTTAGGGAAGTAGGACGCAACTCTCCCTCCCACCTCCATTTCCCTCTTTCCACTTGTTGACCATGTTGTTTCCTCAGTTACCTTTTCTCAACCCCTCCTTAACATGGAAGGTGTACATGTGCCCTCTCCTCTCATTCCCCATTCCCCCCCTTTTCACCCATCCAATCGTGTTCACATGCAGAATGCTCCTTTATCTCGTTTTGCCCAAGCTCTTGTACCCTCTATACCCTTGCTCTCTTTCCCCTCTCTCTCTCCACCCTTTCTCTACGCAATCCTAGACTTGCAACCCCTTCCTCCTACACCACCTCTTTGTATGCCCTCCCCTAACCTCATTAGTCCACCTCCCCATTTTCCTCCTAATTCATCTCCTCCTCTTCTCTCCCCCCATGTCCCAACCTTGTTGCCACCATTGCCTCACCTAATTAAGCTTTGATGTCGAGGCCTACCCAGCTTGTTCACCAGATGCCTTCATGCACAAGCCCTCATTCTAGCCCATCCTTAGCTATCTATTCCACCCTCCCTTTTTTCTACGTGATGTGTAGGAGGTGATTTTAATATCACCCGATGGTCTCATAACAGTCTTTTAGACATCTTGTTGGAAGGAGCGGAGTTCAGTTGGTCTAGTCATTCGGCTTATCGAAGCCTCTCAAATTTAGATAGATTTCTAACCCCTCTCAAGTGAGATCATGAGTTCCCTAGCACCCACTCTCTGGTGCTTCCTAAGTCCGCTTCAAATCATAGACCTATTCTGCTAAATACCCTATCCCTTCCTAGAGGGCCTAAGCCTTTTCGCTTTGAGCTGTCTTGGCTTTAAGAGTCCAGTTTCCCCTCTCCTGTCTGTAACCATTGGGAGTCCTTCTCCCCCCTCGTGAATGGGTGGGCCGGTTTTATCTTGTAGAAAAAGCTTCAAATGCTCAAAGTTTTCCTTAAATCATGGAGTTCACAGCTCCCTGGAAACTTCTGATACCAAAAAGACTCTCTTTTGAGCTCTATTCAAAACTGAGACTCCATTGAAGAACTTAGACCTCCCTCCACTTCAGCTGGATTCTCGATCCATCCACAAACGTGATTACCAGATAGCTAACTGTCGAAGAAGGGAGAACTCTATTGCCCACTTCAAGGTTGGGGGCCAGATTGCTGACCATCCTAATCTCGTTGAGGCAGCGGCTGTCGACTATTTTTCCAAGCTTTTCTCTTCCCCTATTGGTCCTAGGCTAGTAATGGTGGACTTCTCCTTCTCTTCTATTTCTCCAGAATCTGCAGCCTCTTTGGAAAGCCCTTTTTAGGAGGACAAAATACTCCAAGCCATTAAAGACCTCAATGGAGACCGGGCCCCCGACCCTGACTGCTTCCCCATAGCCCTCTTCAAAGTCTTTTGGGATAACCTTGGGACTGATATCATGGCTTTCTTTTATGAATTTCACTCTCGAGCTACTATCCATAAGGCGATGAATGACACTTTCATTGCCAAGATCCCCAAGGTCTGGTGTCCCGCCTTAAACGTGTCCTTGGTCAGGTGATCTTATCATCCCAAGGGACCTTTGTGAAGGAACGTCAGATTCTCGATGGAGCTCTAATAGCACACGAGTGCATCCATTCCCGCTGTAGTGCAAAAATCCCAGGCTTGATAATCAAAAAACTTATGATGATGAGACTTTGTCCATAATACCATTTGGCTCTCTATGGTGGAGATGAATCCAAGGGTGTATTTCAAAACCCCAATTTTTGGACCTTATTAATGACACATCTAAGGGTTACATTCATGCTTCGAGAGGGCTCTGCCAAGGGGACCCCCTTTCACCTTTCCTATTTGCCATAGTGGCTGAGGTGTTTAGTGCATCACTATCTCGTGTGTATAGCATGGGACGCATTTAGGGTTTCCTAGTGTGTAGGTCGGGTCTCTCTATATTCCACCTCCAATATGTCGATGACACCCTCTTTTTTTGCGATGCATTTTTTTTAAAAGTTAGTTGTTTATTGCTTTTCCTCCAATGCTTCAAGTTGGCTGCAGGCTCTAGGGCGAACCTAGAAAAAACTAAGATGACAAGAATCTGTCTTGACCAAGCCATAGTCAAATGCTTCGCTGACTCCTGGGGAAGTGCTGTAGAGCCAATGGCCTCATCCCATCTTAGTTAGCCTTCCATCTTGCATTGGCCTTCCTCGAATCCACTTATGGAGCTTGGTTATTGACAAAGTCAAGTGGCACTTGTCTTCATAGAAAGGAAGAGTCCTTTCACCAGGCTGATGAGTGACCCTTATCGAGGCCACAATTTCCAGCATTTCCCTTTCTTTATGTCCTTTTTCTTTATAGTCGTAGTCGCTAGACTGGAAAAACTCATGAGGGCTCTAAGGCTGCTCATTGAAGGGGCAAGTGAAGAAAGTCAAGCCCCAAGCACGAGGGCTTATGTATGTGGAAGTGTCTATCAATAGAAAATCTACTAAGGCTATGACAGACACCGAGGCTACACCCAACTTTGTGGCAGATCAAGAGGCACGCCGGCTGAACCTCAGTGAAGGTACTGGATGGTCTCTCAATAAAACCAAATACTTGCGGGCGTCGTTTAGCCTCCTCTCAAGGGAAGGGAGGCCTGAACTTGCCACGCTTCCTCCCTCACTTGCCCCTGACAACGAAGCGAGAATTGAATCAATTACTCGTTTCAGTCAGCTTGCTCTCAAACTAGTCATACTCGAACCGACCTCATAGACACGATGAAACTCGATTCCTTGTTCGCCTCCTCCCCACCTGCTTTACTACTCCCTTGCTAGTTTCTTTTGTCTGACCCGTAACCCTTCCTCTTCGGTGGCAAAAAGCATTACTGGTCCACCTAATGCGAGATCTTGGAACCCAAATTTTAGGAGACCCTTAGTTGACCACAAGCTTCACCAGTTTTTTAATCTCTAGGTCTTGCCCGATTTGATATTTTTTCTCCCACGTGCAATGACAAAATTGTCTGATCCCCCTCTCCAACAGGTTCATTCACTGTTGCTTCATTTTACTGAAGCTTATACTCCCCGCCTTCTCTTCCCCTCTCGGCTTTTCCCTCTATAGCCACCAAGGTTTGGTGCTCCTTTTTGCCCTCAAAATCCAGCTTTTTACTTGGATAGCACTCCATCAAAGGGCTTTGACACTCGATCAACTAAGGCAAGGGGGTATCGCTTTTCCTAACAGATGCACCATGTGCCTCAAAGCTAAAGAAACCAATCAACATCTATTTCTAAATTGCGAGGTTGCCTTAGCCCTTTGGACCGACCTTCTTCTTTTATTCAAGTGGCTATGGGTCATTCCCCAATCGATCCCTCACCTCTTTTCCTTATGCCTTTGAACTCCTTGGAAAAATTCAAGAATTCTTCTATGGATAGCATCTATCTCAGCCACTCTTTGGCCCACTTGAATTGAGAGGAATAATTGGATCATTAGTGAGGGCGCCACTACCTCAGCTCTTATTGAAAAAAGGAGGTCACTTGTCCCATTCTGGGCCCTAAACCTCGCAAGCTTCTCCATCTTCTCCTTTTCGGATCTTCACCAAAATTGGCAAGCGTTGCTGCACCTAAGTACCCAGAGAGAGAGAGAGAGAGATTCATAGATGATAAGAATTGCATCTCAAGACGTTGATATTTTTGTTGACTTGGGATTTGATTTCTGCCCATAATATGATGGCAAACTGCTAATAGAACATTTATGAGTATGAAACTTTGGGATTAGTCATTATTTTGAACAGGGACCACAAAAGTATAAATAGCCATTGAATATGTAAAATGGGACTTTATGTACTGTTTGTTTGCCTTTTGCTAGCTGCATTATAGATATTTGTTGTTTGTTTTTTTAAATAAGGTGGTTTCTTAGTTATCTCTTTTATTAAATCAATTTAATTTTTTGTAGGTGGTAGAGCTGGGATTTACCCTATTAGCACTTGCTCATGTTTGACACAATGCCATGCGGGATGAAAAGAACAGTAAGTTATGCCAGCAGTGGAGGTCTGGCTGTTCAAGCATTTCAAGCATATTTTCAGCTTTGCTACAGGAGGCTTGGTTGCTTGCTGTACAGGTACTATTTAATATTGTTATTCTATGTTGTTGATCCCCTTAGGCTGGAGGAATATCTAAATAACTGATTAAAGCTCAGTTCGTGAAATTGCGAAATTCTCTGTGTATTGCAGTCTCTGGTGGTATTTGCCATTATAAGTAATCTTGTAACCATTTATCACCATTTCCTCTTATTCTTTCCATCCTATTATGTATGTGATTACAGCACCTATTCATTATACATTCTTTCATATCCCAGTAATAGAACCAAAATATATTTTTTTGATAAAATATAATGACTAAAATATCCTTTGAAACTTTAAGAGGTATTTTGGTTTCTTTATCAGAAATATTTGTTTTATATTTTTCGATAGCGCGAGTTTAATAGAGGATTGGACGTTCAAAATTTGGTGTCAAATAGTTTATAGAAAAAAAACTTAAAAATAAAATAGTGCAGAGACGTGAGGTATGTAAGGTTAGATAAGGGGAAGTATATAAGTTTTATGTTGTAGGGGAAGCATAGAAAGCTTGCCCCTAACATAAACCTATGTTCATATGACACATGTATGGCATTAGTAGTTATTTGGTAGGTAGCATGTAAATGTAAGAGATGTAAGAGAGAGAGAGAGAAAGGGAGAGAGTGTGTGTATATTACAATCTGATTGTTTGCTTTGCCCTTGAAACGATTCTTTGTGGTAAATAGGTTGAGTTAAACCTGACTCGACGAGGTCTAAGGGTCGACTTGGACCTGGGACCTGGTCAACAAGAGTCGGATTATCAACTTTTTGTAAATCCAAAATGGAAGACCACACCATAACTACCACTGGGATTATGTCTTGTTTTAGTGAGTCTTGCTCTCCATTTCCTCTTCTTCTAGCAAATGTATAGAGGACTTTCCTAAATTCCAACCAAATCACTTCGCTTCATCTCTCCCTCTCACTCGTTAATTCCTTCCAAATCACCGCGCTTCTCTCCCGCCCCTTATCTCACTTCTCTTTCTCTCTCTCTGAGCACAACTCCTCAAAATTGAAACAAGGTAGAAGCTCACTCCCTCCTACATGGGCTCCACTGCACCGCTTTTGAGCCTTTCCATGCAAGCCTGGAGACCCGACAATGCTTTCTCATCCATAAGAAGAACATTTGTTGGCATCATCATAACTTCCACATTACCACCCCCACCCCCACCCCCACCATAGATGCTTTATACCTCGGGGACAGGAAATGTAGAAATGCGGTCCCCACCGCATGAAACAATTTTCTTTTAGATATCATAAAAAATAAATTTTCTTTCAAACAAGTCCAAAATTTTAAACTCTTTTCTTAGCACTCAAGCAGTCAATCTCTCTAAAGCCCTATGTTTCTCTCTGTTGGATTTCTGTGGCCATTAAAGGCCTTGTAAGTGCATATAATTGATATCTGATATACTGAAACAAAGAACTCTAGTGGGAGTACGGTCATGAAGGACCAAGATAATATGGTCATGTTAGACCATAATAAGAAAATGCTATTTGCCGATACTCAGACTTGGCTTGACGTGCTAGGCTAGTCGAGTTAGAATCCCTATTACCTAGGCATGGAACAAAATTGATGAGGGTTTATGGGATATCTCTTGATGAGGTTGGAGTTGCCCAAGAGAGTGAGCCAATGGACTGTGACCCTTGTGTGAGATGGTCTTTAGAGACGAGGGCCAAAACCTCATCATTGATTCATCACATGGCATGTCCACCAATTCAAAAGTGAGAGGGAAGCCCAATCTAAAAGCACAACAAATTACATAGTTCTCAATCTCCCAAATGGGGAGGGATCGTATCATGATCCCTTTACCTGCAAATGCATATTTCTCATTACGGTCCACTTTGGGAATGGGAAGCTGCTTCCTCAATTCAGAGAATGCGTTCATCAGCCTTTTTGATGAGACATCACGACTGGACATGGTGGCGGCATCATCAACTTCAACAACCAAAGAGTTGTTTGTGAGTTCATGAGGCTTCATCACATTGTGCTGCTGCTTCAAATGGACAGGGGACATAAGTGCAAGCTTTGGTGAGGAGAGATTTATGGCAACAGGAGGAGGAGTCGTCGACATTGGCATGCTCGAAGGTGTCCTTCCAGCTGCTGTATTTCTCTCCATCTGCATTGCATTCCATTGCAATCATAACAATACAAGTAGTTCATAAGCCAACACTTTGTTTGTTATAATAGGCATTACACAAAAACAAATTATTTAGGTGGGTACCAACCAACCTGTTCTAATCCATATCTTATAAATGTCCGGAATGCCTCACTCGCATTGTGTAGCTGCAAAAATATATCAACCTGAAAGACCCAATGTTAAATGTCAATACTCAATAATATCCCTGCCTCCCTGCACACTGAAATTGTCCCCAAACCTCAGTTCTAGTGGAGCAACACCTTGTTTGCACGATAGAGAGCAAGGAGGTATCAATTCTTAAGGTTTGTCCTGTGCAATTTAAACTACCCTTAAGCCCCCTTCCCCCACTCCCGCATGCATAGAGAAGAAACAAAGTTCCATTTCAGAAGACGAAAGCCCTCATTGGAGACATACATTTATTCTTCTTTTTGTTCCTCGTGAATCAGTCACTAAGGCCATGATGCAAGTACGGGTACAACTGTGTGATCCCGTAAAGCTCATACAAGCCAATGGTGCATGTCTGCTTGTCACTGATTTTCTTGAAAACCGCAGCAAGCTCTTGCTGTACTCATGTAAAGAACAAAAAGATGCTGGGTAAGGAAGATCGGAGACAAATGACTTTTATTTCCAGTATAAGTTCCAAAGTTGAGATGGCACCTTCAATTGTGCATCTGTCGAATGTGTAGCAGGTGATGGCCCATTGTAAACAGAGTCACCCCACTGTGTTTTGTCAATAGGCCCTGATGGTGTCAGCATTCTAGCAGCTGCAAGAGTCTGTACAAAGAAAAGAAAATCGGCTTAAAGATCCTGAATTCACATCATAATGTTATAGCCTAAGAGGCAAGATATGGATGGTGGCGCCAATGAAGTTTATTAATAGATACAAAATCTTTACCTGGAGATTAAGGTTGATGTGTGCCAGTATAATTGGCTGAGGTTCCAAGTCTATAGGAACCATGGAGAGGTGACCCGTTATTGCCGTTCCCCGAAGCTTAACAAGCTCATGTAGAACAGTCTTAACCATGCGCACTTATGATATCGCAGTGCTACCCAGAAATAACTAACCACTTTGCTAAGCCAAATCTGTGTGTGTGTGTGAGAGAGAGAGAGGACACCCTTGCATGGGAAGCTAAAAGGTGGATATAATTTGAATAAAAAATACCTTCCATGGATATATCTTGCACTTTCATCTTCCAAATGAAAATTTAATTGTTAACTAACTATAAATGCAACTGAAGTTAAATAAACATTTAAGGAAGGTCCGAATGTGTAGACTGTTTAGTAGGCTTTGCAACAAGTAAGTGATTCTCATGCAATATGTTATAAGGGGCATATTTTAGTCCACATAAGCCTCCCAATATCCAGGATATCTTTACACATGAACCCTAACTTTGCTCTCTCTCTACAGGTTTCATATTTGTCACAATCTTTCAACTCCTTGCTGTTCGCTATCATCACTGCCAAAATAAACAAAGAACAGGAGAAAAGATATATAAGTCATTATCAAGAATAATGTAAACACCAACATTCTAAATAAATGATGGGCTACAAGACTTGGATGCATCCAAGGTTCTGGGCTCATGTAGACACTAAGAATGTGACACGCATGTCTAACACTATAGAAACTATGATACTTTAATCGCTTAAAATCCCACCTCCCCACCCCTCTAATATATCTATGAATGTGTTGTATCTAGAAGGGGCTAAGTTGCGTTTCTGACATGTATATTGGTGTATGGCACTGACACTCGTACCCATATCCTTGTAACACAGGTGATGGAGCTTTCTTACTTCTTAAAAAAAATGGAAGAGCACCTTGATATTTTTCAAGAAACAGAAATATTTGTTGAGGGACAGTAATTTATTTGGAAGAAAGCATAGACCTATAGTGGGCATCTTACAAATGGTTTTGTGAAGATCTCATTGCTTAAAATAAGAACTATAGCCGCTTCATGAAACAGAGAGAAGCAACACTCTTGTAGTGATGTTCTTCAGAATCCACAGTTAACATGTTAGTCAAGTGCCATTATTTGAATTATGCAAAACAAGATAGAAAATCTAGGAGTGTAGCGGTGCTAGTATTAGGTATCCTACTCTAACAGGAAATTGTGATTGATGTATTTCAAAAACCATGCAACAACTAGTTTTCAAATCAGGAACTATACTCTCACAGGATATTTAGCTGTTTCAAACCCATCCTAAGAAAGCAGGGCACCTAGTCATTTTCTAAAACTACAAGTGGCAACCAAGAGTTTTTCAATAATATAAAGCCGCAAATTGGAAATTTAAACTCATTTTCACGAAGAAAGAGTAATAAATTACCATGTTTTTACAAGTAAGCTCTGATCAATTGCTTCTGAGAACTCAAATTGGTGGTCTGCATCTACTGCCCAGCTGGTGAACCATGTAATTGCATGGAAACCTTCTTTGGATATCCCCATATTGTATAGAAATCCTACATCTATATCAGAACAATGAAGAAAGTAACACTTTGAAGAGGCTTCTTCCAAAAACTAGCCATGATTCTTATTTGATGGTCACTAATTTTCTCTGAAAGCAAATGGGTACAGCTAGCAGTTGGACGAATATTGACTCCCAAAATACATATCCTTTTTCTTATATATTCCAGCCAATTGCCCAAAAGAACAGGGTTCCTAAATGAACTATCTTCACAAAATAATGCAAGAAATAAATGAATCTATTAAAAAAATATAAAAAAAAGAAGGAAAAACCAGCCATGAAATGAAGCAATTCATTCCTACAGGGAACTTTAAATTCTGGATCATTTCACATGAACTATGAACTATGCATATTTCACATTAACTGTGAACTGTGCACAATAAATTATGTATAATTTAATAGTGCTCTAAATGAACATTCAGATATTTCCATATTACATGTCCATGCATGTGCTTGTGTGAGCAATGATCCTATGATTTCATAGATTGCTAATTCTCTATGTGTGTATCTTTCACGGGATATATACAACAGATAGAAGAACCAGATTGTAAAGGATCAAAGGTATTTGTATACTAATGAATAGGGGATTACTCATGTAAGATTTCCATTGGCAAAGATGATGACAGCATGTTACAAAGGAAACACCTCTCAGGCTGCAATTGCCTCCTGGTCCATTATGATGCTGAGTGGCAGCACCTTAAGGTAAAGTCTGCTAGCACAATTTAAATATGAAATAAAGAATGCAGTGAATTACCGAAGCTAGTAATGCTGACAAAGTTATCTTCACATGCATTCCCTAGTTAATTATTGGGTGACAAACTGAATTTGCCAACCTGTGGCAGGACCACATAAATGTTTCCCAATTGCCTAAGAAACACCCCTAAAAGTCTACACATTATTCAAGTCCAAATCATCAACTGCAATAGTTGAGTTATACATTAGATGCGCAAGGGGGATGTAAACTGACAGTATTCAATAAATACATCTATACATGTAATGCTAAATATTGTCTGCTTATCATGTTAAATGTGTTAGAAAACCAAATGAGATCCCATTGAAAATAGCCTTCATTAGTTTAATAGTGATTATGTATGGAACTCAAGGCCCCTGCAAGGTCCCCTGAGTGTCTTCCCAACATCCAACATGGGGGAATACACTTCACTGACATATACAAATGTATCATGTACAAAGCAAAACTAGGAATCAATTGGGCTAGTAGGATTTCTATTTGCGCCTGGAGACTAAACTAGTGTTTGAATATTTTTGAGCCCACTAAATCTCTTGAGGTGTCTTCCCAACACGCATGGCATGAAGCCAATGCTATCGGGGATAGCCTCACCAAAGAGGGGGCTTCCCAAACAAATCTTGTAACCTTGGTCTAGTGGGCAGTCCCTTTTTGTTTTTTTTTTGTACAACTTTGTCTCTGTTCTTTATTAATTAACTGTATAAGAGTTCTGGTCTTACACTTGTTATAAGTAATCCAAAAGAGTAAATAAAGAAAAAAAGAAGTCTTTGCTTTCCTTGTGGAACATGCATAATAGCTACAATTGACTTCTATCATTTGCCTGTTGTTCGTGAAAATAGGAATGAATTTTGAAATAGTATTAATTTCTTGAAGTATATCTTAGGTTTTGAAAAGAAATATTGAGTTACTTTTGGGAATAATCACGGGAAAAAGGAAAGCAAAGCAAAGCCCTTTAACATAGTTTGGAAGTAAAAAGATGCATTTTATCTGTTAGCAAAATGGCTAGAACTCCTTGAATATTTTGAGGCCCTCATTTCTATTAGACAAGCATTAAAATAATTAGTTTGTGTATTTTCTTTATCGGTGGATGGAGGCTGCAGTGATTATCTATATGGCCAGTAATTTCCAATATGCTTTTTTTTTTCTCTAAACAGCTTTTCCTAGATATATTTGACACTCAAGTTATCCTTGATTCTGTTATAGGTATCTATACTTTGTTATCTGTCCAACTTCATATACCTCCTTATGACGAGTATTTTCGTTCGCTACATTTTGATATACCACAACATTTGTGTTGTTTTCTTATCTTTATTTGAAAATGATATTCTTCATGAGCATTGTATGCTAGAAACATGTCATGTTCATATTTTGCCTCTTTCTTTTCTGGAACCTTAATCAAAGTCCTTTTATGGTGTATCTGTAGTGTCCTATTCAGTACCCATTCTTGGCTTTTTTCAGGGGAGAGAAAAGGCAAAAGGATAAATGAATGATGAATTGTTTAGAGATGTACTAGTTGGAGAGTACTACATGCACTAGTACAGTGAAAGCATTCGCGAAAATAGGAAGGATAAACAAAATCACCTATGCCGCACTTGCTTTTCCTGTGGTTTATGTCTTCTCTTTTTTTTGCCTTGTAATTGTACGTGTGATATTTTATGTTATTAAGCATTGTTAAACTGGGAGAGTTGCATATTCTTTTCTTTTTTATTCTATTTTTGTTAAAAACAATTGTGGATGTCGTGGTCAAGACTCTCTCTTTTTCTCTCTCTCTCTCTCTGTCTCTCATGGTTCAGGCCTCTGGGCATTTGGCCATCTGCTATGTTACAATTTGAAAGTCTTTTATATTGTGAAATACACATATAATATGTATATGGTATCAAAACTTGTCTATTTTCTTTTCATTAATGGACGTTCATGTCGTAAAAAATCTGATCTCATGTTGTAATGTGTAGACATGTGAACTGCATTGCTTGGGCAATGTAGCTGAAATGCGTGATATAGTTTTCAATTGG